CTCGCCGGCCTTGGAGCCCCGCCGGATACCCACAGAGTTGATCGAGAGTTTGCTCATGTGGATAATCGATGACTGGACCGACAAGATGGAGGCAATGTACCACCCTGAGGAGGAGGAGAACGAGAAACGGTATTGTGCGGTGCTCATTTTCTTGCCGGGTATGGGCTCTATCTCGAAACTCATGAGGTATCTTTTAAAATCTTCGCCGTGCGCTGAGACCTTCAGACAACACTACTTGTTCATACCCTTCCATAGGGTCACTGCAGGGCAGCATGCAAGTCGGCTTTTCAAGCGGCTGGAGAGTGTTGATGGCCCTAGGATAAAGTGCGTGCTGGCGACTAATGTTGCCGAAACAAGTTTGACCATCCCCGACTTGAGATACGTTATAGACTGCTGTCGGCAGAAGGTGAAGAAGAGCAAGAACTACTTGGAAGTGTGGTGGGCTGGCAAATTCAACTGTCTTCAGCGTAGGGGCCGCACTGGACGTACGTGTAGCGGTACTTGCTTCCACTTGATTCCAGAGAAGATGTTCCATTTTGGTCTACCAGAGCAGCTCGAGCCGAATATAGCACGAGAGCCTCTGGAGGGTATTCTGCTGCAGTCACTCTGCCTCTCGAATGGTCGCCTTATCAGAGGTCTCGATGAGCTCCTCACTTTCTATAAGAACCTCCCACACGACCCTGAGACCCGTCGTGTGGTCCTGTCAGCGTCAATGCTGAGAGAAGCCGGGGCTCTCGATAAGGCGGGTAATATAACAAATAGAGGTCGTATATTGGCAAGGCTACCACTTGATGCCACCCAAGGTTGTGGACTACTCTGTGCAAGTGTAATGTACAATACCGGTTCCTACGGTGATGCTGTTGGCTTCTGGTTGGCCGTCACGTTGATCCTTATGTCTTCTCACTATGACATTTACTTTGGCACTGATTCAGAAGTTTTGGATGGCGATGAAGTCGCCGGCGATGCCTCGGATGATAGTATGTCCTCTGGGCCGCCGAAGAGGAAGCTCCTACCGATCGAGGCGGCCACTGAGGTCCACCTCGGCGTTGATGGTCAGGAGGCTCGTCGGGAGGCTATTCTTAGCGATCACTTCCAGAAGCTTGTATTCGAGATCGAGTGGGAGCAGAAGTGGATTCGTGAGGGCCATCGCGCTGCCAAGGCGTTTGCCAAACATCGTCATCTGAGGCACAGTGCCTTGTCGAGCTTGTGGACCGAGCGGGACTTCCTTTTCCAGTGGCTAGAGAAGAATGGTCTGACTCCAAAGAAGCACTTTGAGTGGGTGAACGGTACCAAGGAGGTCATTATACGGGAAGGATGGAACCCTATGGAACTTGTGCTGCAACAAGTGCCTGGGCTTGAGATGGTCTTGGCAGCAGTAGTGGGATCTGACATATGTCAGTCAGATGAAGCAGGAGGGATGAGGACCATGGACCCACCATATGAGGTCGGTCAAATGGGGTATAGTATCAAGCTCAGACCTGCGGACACTTCTGTGATACACCTCTACCCACAGTTGAGCCCCGACCACCAAGGTTACCAGTACCTGCAGATCTTCGTTTACTCGGGTAGATCTGACAGTATGTGGTATGGCAAAGACGACAGCCGAGGTCGCATAGGCTGCCTTACTCCGATGCTTCCAGCTACGTTGGTAGTGGCATCGACGGCTAAGATGCGTTACTGTCCGGGTGCTGGCCTCTATATTAGTGATAAGGCATTGATGAGCGATTGTGAGGCGTTGGAGATCCTATGGGATGTTAGGCTCATCCTCCGAGAGGCTATGGATATGGTAGCTGAGCAGTGGTTGGATATTCTGGGGTACGGTCCGAGGAGGAGTAGGAGGAGAGCAGCAGCAGTAGCAAGGGCTGCTGATACTGAGCAAATTGATAGGGCTCGAAGGATGGCTCTGGCTATTGGTAATGAAAAATCTTATGCATACAACAGCAGTCTTGCTATACATAACTGGTATCAGGATGTACAGGTTTAGAATCCCTATACAACTGTACCATATGAGTAACACTTGCGGCTCAGTAGTTGCAATATAATCCGACGAAAGTCGCGAGAAAGATGATTATTATTATTTTGTGATAGAGATTGCCCTTTTGCCGCTCTCTGTGTTGTTGTTGTTGATTCGAGTGGGCTACAAGGTGGTAGCAGCATCAGGGAGAGTCGTTCGTTGCAGGCTAGGAGCTTGAGCCAGACAGATGGTATTCCCTTTTCGTCACTTTTTCACCCGCAACGGGTCCTCTCGAGATCTCCATCTCCCTACTGCCAGGCTGCCTCCAATGGAGATAGAGAGCTCGGAAGAGGCCTTACTGTCTTCCGAGTAATACATGCACTATCATTTCGACAGTAGCTGCTTATTCAGGAGGATTCCTGCAGCCCGAGCCCATCTTATCATTCCGGATGACCTCGAGGAGCAGCAGAACCTGCTCAGCGAAGACGGAGGATGCGAGTCGTAAGTAGTTGAGTGTACGAGTATTTGTCTGCCGATGTTGATATGTACTTATCGTAGTAGTTTATCATCAAGGCATCGCGAAGCGCATAGGGCAGTGCCACTGAGCTCTGAATAGGGAGGCCTAGCTATCGATGGGGGCATTCGGAATTATATCATCGCCCCTAGCGGCTTCGTGATTCGAGCAATAGCTTTCGTCGGCTCAACGATTATACCCACCGGGGCAGTCATGGTGATCTTCTTAGATTCTTCAACCGTTCTATACCGCTCATATATCGTCCCCCAGTTTGGTCGTTCGGAGTAGTTTTGCCAGTTTTTTACTTTGGGTATGCTTCAGCAGCAAGCGTCCATATGGGTACGAACCCTAAGGGGTAAGATCTACAGTGGGGGCAGGCTTTCGAGGAGTGAGGACCGCTGCTTTCAGAATATCTCCTCACGCCTTCGATGCACTGCTGTCTCTACTACTAGGCATAAGCCTTTACTCAGCAGGGAAGGTGAAAGAGAGGCTCACGACCATCGGCACTTGGATGCTCTTCGCTATCTTGTCCATAGTAGGGTCCCACCTAAGCCCTATCATCGCCTGTTAAGTCTGCTATTACCTCAGCTCAGCACTATATCGTGTACGCTGTACCAAGAGATAGTCGGCACACACATGACGCTGTCAATCAAGAGCATAGCCAATTGGGGGCTACTACAGTGGATCGCCGCGAGCATACTTTTATCAGCTGCAATATGGTGCCTCTGGTCACACGTAATAGTCGAGTGGGGTTCCACTAGCAGCCGACTGCAGTTAGCACTATTCCAGATACTCTTTGCCTTCCGTGGTGGCTACCTTGGACAATTCGTAATAGGTGTCACAGGAGGGTTGATAGCCATTGTACGTCTCCTCCATAATCTCGACTGCACTGATAGTTGTATGTCTCTCTTTCAGACATTTCTTACCTTCGTCGCCGAGCCGACGTCGGACGGACTTCATCTGCATCATTGGTTCACAGCTTACCTGATGGCTATGATGTAATAAGGAATACTCCGCTTCGCTCCGCTCAATTGAATCTATGTTTTGCAGTTGTCGAGAGCCCCGTAGTCGTATGAGCTTTGCCTGGCAGTCATTGTTCGTGGGCATCTGGCTGCATGGTGCCAGCGTATGGGGAGTCGATAGCATGTGGAATAAGCGTCCACCCTGGCCCCCCTGGTCTGCTTCTCCAGTCAACATTACAGGTGTGCCTCCGTCACGGGCCCCTTTCATTACGTAAGCGTCGAGAGATATCTGCTGTTTGAGCCGTGGTAGACGCAAAGTTTTTATGCTCTCATTGCACTGCTCACTGATAGAGTGCTGATTGCGTTAAGTAAAGAACGGATCATGACAGGCCACAACGGATTACTGATATCACGAGCTCTTTTTTATATTGAAGAACACAGGTGGGGAGCTGTGGCTAACCATTTTACATGAAAAATTGGGTTTGGTATAAATTGGTCATACGTGAGGTTTTGGCCCGTAACTCACGGGTTAGATGTTTGCTGCGTTCATTCCTCTAGAGTAGTTTGCAATTGGTTACTGGAGATTATTCAATGCTTTGAGCAACGGGATGAATATTAATGGACATGCCGGGAATTGAACCCGGGGCCTTCTGCATGCGAAGCAGACGTGATACCCCTACACCACATGCCCGATATTTTTGTGGAGGGATGACAACGCCAAGCCCCATACATTGTTGTGGGGAAAAGAGAGATTTTTCTAACGTTGGAATCAAGTAGGATATGAAATGCCTGTGAATTCGTTGACCAAAACTCCAAACGGCGTGTCATACTCATTAGCGAGGATGAAGTTGCCTTTTAGTCGTGCGTATGTAGATTCGCTCGTACTTCCCTGCCAGTGCCGGGCAGTTGGTTCTATATAAGTATTAAACTCCAGTGTTGATCGCGCTACTCCAACCTGTGTTTACTTGAGCAGCAAAAGCATTAACGACGAAAGGAACGACAGCGCGCAGCCAATACCTGTTCACACGTGATCGATTATTGCTGTGCATATGGATAATGAATTGCTTCCATAAATCGAGTGAGGAGGAGACTTATAATCGCGGTCTTGTTGAAAAGGGTGAATCAATCGAATCGAAATTCCATCTTAGGAGGGGTTTAATGCTGCTTTTGAAATGGTCATGATCGAGAACAGCCTTCAACTTCTATCCACTTCTACTATCCTGTCCTCGCGATGAATTCAAGCATCGTCGTTAAAGTCTGAGCTGATACGCTACAGCGTTCCCCACCATGTCGAACTTAAACACTGGCCATGCGCTGAGGAACATGACTCCAACGCATAGTTAAGTGACCTCATCCCAAGATATTTGTTTGCTTTACTACGAGGTGTTTAGGCCTGCATACAAAGAGCTCTTTACTGGGTAGGGCTTCCTTATTGACAACTGTTTCGAGTTCGGCCAAGGCGGGGAAGGTCCGCATGAGTGCGTGAGACGAAGCTGCGCCGATGCAGAGGAAAACATCATAGCGAATTCTCAGAAAATCGATTAGATTTGCGCAGCTCGTAGGTTTCGAGTTTCAACGAGGGTGTGGTTGTCGGACGTTGCGTCATCGATTCCGAATGCGAGTGATGCATCTAGAGTGTTATGGTGCCTGTCTATTTATCAGGAGTATCGCAGTAGCACAATCTAGTGTAGTCGTGGTGTTTTCTTGGTTGATAATTTTCTTTGACTAACGTAGCGTGCAAGTAGCTGTAGCCTTAGTAGGATAGTGGTAGGTCAATATTTCGCTCGTAGTTCCCAAGGATCTCTTGCCAAAATGCCGAACTTCACAGTAGAGGAGATGCGTGCGGCCATGGATGAGCCTCTTTACATCCGTAACATGAGTGTCATTGCTCATGTCGATCACGGCAAGTCCACTTTGACCGATTCCCTTATCTGCCGTGCTGGCATTATCTCTTCTAAGGCCGCCGGTGATGCTCGTTTCACTGATACTCGTGCTGATGAGCAGGAGCGTGGTGTGACTATCAAGTCTACTGGTGTCTCTCTGTACTACGAGTACAAGGCCGAGGACAAGGAGAAGGAACACGGTTACCTTATTAACCTTATCGATTCCCCCGGTCACGTTGATTTCTCATCTGAGGTTACTGCTGCTCTTCGTGTTACCGATGGTGCTCTGGTCGTCGTCGATTGCATTGAGGGTACCGCCGTCCAGACCGAGACTGTGCTTCGTCAGCCTTGAGTGAGAGGGTCAAGCCAGTTCTGTTCATGAACAAGTCGATAGGTGTATCTTGGAGTTGCAGATGGACCCTGAGGAGATGTATGTCACTTCCGTAATGCATTGAGGATGTCACGTCATCATCGCCACTTACACGATGAGCTCATGGGTGATTGCCAG